GTTTTATTTTATTTTCTCTTCTCAGATTTTTTCTGAGGGTTATAATTTCCTTATTTTTCACTTTTGTCATACTTTCAGCAAATGTGGGTGTTCAAATAGAACTTTTACCATTCAAATTTAAGTTTTATTAAACCGTTTCAGCTTTAAACAGATTTCAGAAAAATATATTTCAGCATTAATCATTCAGACTGTGTTTTCACAGGAAATGAAAAGTTGTTTTAAGGTGACAACAGTCCACTTTGGCCTCAGCCCCWTTTGGACTAGCCTTTAGCTTAAGTTTCTGGTCAGAAATAAACTTTAGTTTTGCAAAACTGAGGTCATTCGAAGAGCTATCTACAACAGGTAAGATACTAATTATTAACTTTTCCATAGAAGATGCAAAAAGCCAAAAGAACAAGAGACTTTGTAGCATGTACAGACTTACCTCTCCTACCCTGAGCTGATTCAAAAGTCTTGTTCACTTCTTCCTAAAGTCTGCCATAAAACATGGGGAGTCATTATTTTCTTCAGGGGCCGTTGCATTCATTGTCTCCCCCTCTGTCTCATCCCCAGCCTCTCCCTTCTTGTCTTCATCTGCCTCGCCTCCTACTTCTTTTCTTTGGTCTTCATTTAAAATTCTAGTCATACAATATCCCAACGCCTCCATTCGTTAGCGGTATTGCCCAACAGGGGTTGCGGCAGCCTTGCACAGCCAAGAAATCCGGCGCAATAATGCCAGCAGTGCTGTTATGGGATATCAACAAAAAAGCATAACTTTCGTTTTTTCATAGCTTTGCTGCTCGGACGCAGCACCGGTGCTGTCATATATTACACTGTTCGCCAAAAAGGCAAACAACAACAGCAAAATGTAGCAAGCCTGCGGCAAGTCTAGTGAAGTGTTTAAGAATATTTAAAAACTGGGCTCAGTTTGTTGAAGTTTCTGTTTCAGTTTCATCCTCTTTCCCTCGATTACTGTTGAATTTATTTTAATATAATCAGGGATTGGAAACAGGCTCGGTATCAGAGGCCTGCCAGACTGCCCCTGCTCCTCTGTCGGGGGGGATGACAGCAGAGCCTTGAGCTAATGCCAACRGGCATGGATGTGCTTCATCACAGCGATATGGTTACGCTCGAAGCACTGCTGAGCCAGCACATTCCTAAAACAGAAGCCTGTACTTCAATAAAAGCTCAATTTATGATCTTTGTTCTCCTCCCACGTTTCTCTCCGGCTCTCTCATTCCTTTTTCCTCTCTGCTCGCMTGTTTAACAGTGGCGGTGTGCTTCTTTAAAGGGCAATTATTGAGATGTTGCTGTAGCTTCCAGATGTTTTGGATAAAAACAGTGGACACKTTGTGTTTAAATGTGTTGTYTCTGTTTATATCAGAGGGAATGTTWCCTAGAAGGGTTTCTCWTTTCCCTTTGATTTTGTTGAGCATCCTCTCACTCTGGAGCTCTCTCTTTTGAATCTGCGCAGTGCCGAAGGACCCGAACCCGCAGTGGCGCAGGGTGGCGTGGAGCTACGACTGCACATTGCTGGCCTACGCCGACAGCACAGGCACCGTCCGGCTTTTCAACCTCAAGGGCAGCGAGCTGTTCGTCATCCCCCCGGTAACCATGACAACCCACACTGACATCTTTTCCAAGTTGTAAATGTTTGTTTTTAATCGGTTGTCAATAGTTTTATGAAACTGTTTATCTTCTTGTTTTGGATGAAGTTTTCCTCTGCCGCCATTTAAGGCAGGCGATCATGCAATTTTCCGTTTGTGTTTTTGTCTGTCAGCAAAATATTTCAGGAACTACTAAATGGATGTTAAAGGGGACATTTCATGTTTTTTCATATGTAAATCATTTTATATGTCTATCTATATAATATAAGATGTCTATGTAAAGAGGAACTGCAATACGTTGGTCTGAATTTTTTGTTATTGCAGCTCCACAAGCCCCTCACCCCTGTTCTGAGGTGTGTCTGAGAGCAACTCAGTTTGGTGCTGTCTCTTTAAAAGGATCCCTGATTAGCTGTAACATTAGACTTTATTTGATAAACATATATTTTAACTGTAAAATAAAGACTGTAAAAATACTGTAGACTTTTTAATTTTTAGCATTTTTAAACTAAAAGTTTAAAAATATATTTTACACGGACGGGGCC